AACGTTTTCGGAGTCAATTTTCGTTTAGCTGGCTTTCGATTGGGCTGGGTCTCCAGGGTTCCCTCATTATTGTATCGGTTGAGCAAAGTAACACAGCAGTCGACACGTGTTCGCAAGTTCGATTCACTCATTTTCATGAGGTACCCATCGTTCAAGTTTTTTTACTTTACCGATTTGCTACAGTTATTTATCTATAGATTAATACAGTTTTATCACATATCCCGAAGCCTGCAGCTATCTCTGAAGTTCTTTGTGATAGATCCGCTTACACAATAGCCTTTAATTCTTCATTTTCCGCCGGTGGTCTCGGGCCGTCCACGGGATTAGTTCTAAAGGACGAAATTTCCAGAACGAAAACGTTGAAACCAAAAACATACCGTGCTTTCTTTTGCGACACCAGTACTACGCTAGAACTCGTATTCGTAAACATACCGATATTTCATGTTTTCCATTGTGCGGTATGGAATGAATTTATAAATTTGAATTTGGAAGTCTTAACCAAAGAGGAGATGTTTCAGATCAAAGTGGTCAGTATGCCAAAACGCTAATTTCATATGTAAGGACCTAATATTAGGAAAAGCATCGTGCAAATCATGTGTCTGCAAGATCTATTGCAAGAGATAGACAGCGCCTCGCGAATTATAACTCGTGCAAAACGTCTCACTCCGCGCTCTGGGCCGATCGGTCGAGTTGTTAGGGAAAAGTTGAGTAAATTATGAGTTATCCATTCGTTTGTAAAATGTATTGCTTGCCGGCTTGCCCCCCGCCCCCGGGGGGAGGATTATAGATCCGGGGCTGATTGCAACTGTGCGAGTAATAATGCCTTACCAATTATTAATTCTGATATTTTGATCGGCGAGTTACAAAACTTGTACTCTACTTTCATTATTAAAATTCCTCTATTTTTCTACTATGAAGATATAGTTTTGGTACGCTAACACGAAATACTAAATAAATCTTAAGGACTTACTTTCTGTTTAAAGTGCAAAAATTTGTATTTCAGTTTATAGTGCAAAAGTAACAAGGCTTTATTAATTTAAATGGAATAAATATAGTAAATTTATCTTTCACTTGCAATTTCGTGTTACATATATACATTTTCTTTGAGTTTATATACCTGCTTCGAGCTAATGTCATTATTATTGCATGTGCTTATTTTAACTTCCGCATACACTGAAAATCTGCAATTAATGCTTAGGATAAATGTATTTTGGTTAATGCAATGATATATTATACTACAGATATGTTAACGCATACAAAATTACCAGTCGAAAGAACTCTTATTTTGAAACAGAGAGACAGCAGAAAAGAATAAAGAAAGAAACACGTTTATTCACGGTCTAACCACTATAGGTATATAACAAACGTAAAAAAATAATGTAATTACACAAAGAACATAAAATAATATTGCAAAATTGAAATAGATGAACGAATTGTAAGAATATATATACGAGATACAGATTAAGATGACTTAAATTATTGTTCAGGACACTGGATTTCAGTCCAGCCCTCACTCGGAAGCATTTCGGACGGCTGCTTCGGTGCACTTGCAATAATACCCACTATTACTTATTCACATCTTTCGTTCAAATTGTATTTTTTTTATGCGAGAAGATGGCATGCGAGCTGGCGGTTCGCCTGATGTTAAGTGATAATCACCGCCCATTGACATTTGCAACACCTGTAGAGTCCTAGATGCGTTAATCATCAGACGAAACGCAGTAGTATAGCACTTCCACTTCACGCTACTTACTTTAATCCGGACAGACCTGCCCATTCGTGCAACATCGAAGACTGTTGCATGTCCCTGCCACAGTAAAATAGCAGAAAAGAGTAGCGTAATTAAAGCAATAAGACAAAAGAGGACGGCAAGTGTTAACATCGCGTAAGTGTAAAGAGGTGCATCCGTCTTTTTCGTCCCTGTATTTAACTTTTTTGTCTCAAATGGAACGTTTTCGTGGCTTCACTACGGGCGCGTTAATAACATTCAACTGTGGTAGGGCCACGCAACAGTTTCCGCTTTTGGCTTTTTTTATATGGAACTGAGTAGCGCTTGACTGTCCATCCCCCCTGATGGTAAGTGACGATGCTCATGTTAATATTTTTATACCAGTGTTTTTTTGTGTGAAAAGTTGTCAAGCGATCAGGTGGTTCACTTGATGTTAAGTGAATATCGCCGCTCATGGACATCGGCTACACCAGCAGATACGTGGACAGCTTTTGGTAAATTGGGCTCCGGCTACTTCATTCACTAGATGAAACGCGTAAGTATTATACTTCCTACTATTACTTAAAGAATAAATGCCCTTGAAATGTGGTGTTGACGCCGTATGTTAAGATTACCATGGACGGCCCGTCGCACAATCATCTCCATCTTAAAGCAACTTAGAATAGAAAAAGTTCAGAGTCTGCACACAATCTGCTTACAACGCATATACTTTGGCTATGTTGCACGAAAAGGAACAGATAACCTTGAGCTTTTGATAGTGACGGGAAAGATAGAGGGTAAAAGACCTAGAGGCCGTACTCCTAAACGATGGACCGATCAAATTTCAAAACACCTGGAAATCCCCATAAGCGCCGCACTCCACCAGGCGACGGAGCGAAACCGATGGAGACAGTGACCAATTAAATAAGGATCACAATCCTCAGCAGTGAGGGAACGACTAAGAAGAGAAGAGAGAGAGATTATATTTCCACTTCACGCCAGTGTCCTGCGAGGTCGTGGTATTTACCCGGACGAGCCTGCCCGTGGCTGCTGCGTGGCTGTTTTGGAAGAGGATATCCAACGAGATCTTACTATTCTAGGTTTTAATGTGCCATGCCAGAAAGCGCCGCTCACTATTAGAGCATCTTCTGCCAGCAATCACCCATATTATTAACTATTCCCTTGATTCCGGTCAATATCCTACTTGCTGGAAGAAAGCCTATGTCCGACCTCTTCCTAAAGTTCCTAATCCTACGCAACCGAACCATTTCCGTCCAATATCAATTCTGCCCCCTTTCTGTCAAAAATTCTGGAAGCCTGTGTTCACAAGCAAATCTCCTTATTTTTAAATAAACATAACCTACTGAGTATCTATCAGTCTGGTTTTCGTTCTGGCCACAGCACTACCACAGCCTTAATCAAAGTTACCGACGACATTAGACAAGGCATGGAAAATAAAAAGGTAACTGTGTTAGTGCTTGTAGACTTTTCAAACGCTTTAACACAGTCGACCATGATATACTCCTTTCCATGCTCTCCCATATTAATTTTGCAGACTCTGTTGTAGAATGGTTTTCATCTTATCTTCGTGGGCGTCAGCAGTCAGTTACCTTGGGGCAAAAAAGCTCAGCTTGGGCTGATGTTGAGTCTGGCGTGCCACAAGGCGGCATACTGTCTCCCATAATCTTCTCTATTTTTATTAACTTTCTTACTGCTTTTTTGAACTGTTCGTATCATTTGTATGCTGACGATCTTCAGCTTTATGTGCAAGCCGATATAGACGACCTTCATGTTGCGATAGTAAAATTAAACGAAAACCTAGACAAAGTTTGGAGTTGGTCAAGTTCTCATGGAGTTTCGGTCAATCCCTCGAAATGCCAAGCTATAGTTGTTGGTAGTTCAAGAATGCTGTCAAAAATTGATTACTCGTCTGTACCTCCTATAAAATACAATAATATAATAATTCCTTTTTCAAACGTGGTAAAAAATCTAGGTCTGCTTATTGACAATACTTTGAATTGGAGTGTATACGTTACCGAAATAAGCCGCAAAGTTACTGCCACCTTACGATCTCTCTATCGCTTAAAACATTTCCTCCCTTTCAAAACTAAACTTTTGCTTGTCCAAACGCTCATTTTACCCATTATCGATTATGCAGATGTGTGTTACCCGGACGTATCCCAACATCTACTAAACAAGTTGGATCGCCTCCTTAATAACTGTATCAGGTTCATTTTCGGCTTACGCAAGTATGACCACATATCCTCCTATCGATCTCAACTTAATTGGCTTACTATTCGGCAAAGGCGGCAGTCCAGAATTTTGCTTGTGCTTTTCTCCATTTTAAATGATTGTTCCTCCCCTTCTTACCTCAAAAACAAATTCTTGTATCTCTCCTCATCTCATGATAGGGTACTTCGGTCGTCTTACACGAATAAATTATGCATTCCAGCGCACTTTACCGGGTTCTCTGTCAACTCCTTTACTATCCAAGCTATACATCTTTGGAACTCCTTGCCCGATAACGTAAGAAACGCAAAAAGTAAGACATCTTTCAAAATATTGGTTCGTGAACACCTGTTAAAGACAAATTCGACCTAAGATATGGACTGTAGTTAAAAGTAGAAGCTAATTGTTATTTATTTTTACAAGTATACATCTTTATATATATTTTAATATTTGAATTATTTTTATATATATATATATATATATATATATATATATATATATATATGTATATATACATATGCATGTATATAACTTAATATATGATTTGTATCCAATTATAATATTATTTTCATATATATTCTCTTTAATTAAAATTTTATTTTTCTTGCATCTTTTGCTGCACCTACCATAAACTCTCACCACATCCTGGGTTGACTGGTAGAGAATGCCTTTGGGCATTAAGTCCGCCCTTTGTTACCTTGTTTTACTGAAGGTTGGCAATAAAGATTTAAAAAAAAAAAAAAAAAAAAAAAAAAAAAAAAAAAATATCACGCGTTATATTTGACATATAGAAACCTGGATGTTGCCGAATGAGAAAGTGAAATTAAAAACTTAAACAACATTTATTCCAAGAGTTTTTTCACAAACCGAAAACATATCTTATATCTATGCAACATATAAATAATACTTAAGTATGTAGGAATATAGCAATACGACAATACAACAGAGTTTTGATAAATAAATAAAGCGTGGACACTGAATTTCACAAAACTTACGCTAAATTAAGTTTTAACATTCATTATAAGTAAAGGCGGAACAGCATATCCATCATTGGGTGGTTTCAAACCTGAAAGAACAGACAATATTATTTTAATATAAGTATCTATCAGTTATTATCATTTACTGTACAGTTTTTAACGTCTTTAAATTTAATACTTTTTTTATAAACAGTTTTATGTAACAGTGCGGTGTATCTACATTAATACAAAACATAAGCATCTCGTTTCCTATATTTACTCAAATAGTTCTAGAGAAAGGTTTTATTTAATTTATTTCGAGAAAATCTAAACAAACAAATTGTTACGGCAACATACGTGTAGTGAAACATTAACGGGTTAATTGACAGGTTTTTTTTTTGAATTTTGATTCGGTTTGCGACAATAGGTTATACTTACATAGCAACACTCGACACCGAGGTGCCGATGTTTGGGGCAGAGTACACCTCTCATCTGCACCAGGTTGCCTTGGGGGCAGTCCTCAATTAGCCGGCACAGTCCCCCTTGCCGTACGCACGGCTCCTCCAGTGCGATGAAATTCACCACTGTCGACAACACATTAAAAATATCACACGATCACGTAATAAGAAAACAAAACACAAACAGCATAGATAATGCAGAATATCTTAAATAGGAAGGGTGATTAAAGTAAAAAGTTAAAGTAAAGTAGCAGTCTATACATGTCCCACTGCTAGGCAAAGGCCTCCTCTGTACAGAGGGTATTAAGGAATAGTCCACCACGCGGCCCCAATGCGGATTGGCGGACTTCACATATCTTCGAAATTTTTTCTTTTGTTATTAATTCGAGAATATGCAGGTTTTCTCACGATGTTATCCTTCACCGCTGAGCACTTGATAATTCGGCACTTAAAATTAACAATTTCACCAGGGATCGAATTCAGGTTGCTCGAGTATATTGAAATAAAGACGAACCCCCGGACACTGAGCTATCACGGGTCTAGTAAACAGTAACCTTAAGTTATTTTATTTCAGGGTATTAATGATTTAAGCCGGCTAAAGTTGGATAATAGAACGGATAATCACGCGTACAATCGGTGTATGTACCGAATAATTTCGGACCTACCGGAGATCCTGAGATTCTTCATGAGGGTGAGCGTTACCAGTTCATGGATGCGCGACGGGGCGCGTATTTCATTGCGTTGAGCCTTGTTCTGCTTATAATGTCTGAAGAAAGTTTAAATTATATTATGACCGAAGACGTATTTACGATATCAAACTCATTCCATGTCGCGTCCTTGAGTCCCGCAATGAAACGATAAATTAAAATGAAACGAAAACCTTAGTACATTTATGTTATAATAGCTTTTATCAAATAAATATCAGAAAAGATCTAATAAAAGAACGCTGACGACTGACGAAATATCAACGTTCCAATTGAGAAATATCGTAAGAAGTAAAAAGGGCGGCGACTTATCGTTTTGCAATTAAATTTGAATAGGGAAAAATTGCCTTTTATCGTCAGAAGCTTAACTTTGAAATAGGGCCACGTGAGCGTTGCCACGAGTAAAACTCACAAGTTTGAAAGGTCGACACGAAGTCTTATAACGCACCCTCAATTTGTTTTGAATTTCCTCGTCCGCTATGTCAAATTTTTGAACGCGGCGTAGGTACTTAATTATTATCCAACAATCGCAAAATAATTTCGGTTGAACGTAAACAATCGCGGAGGACGCGCAATGTGTGTTACGGGAACAGATTATTTTTACGCAACCTTGACTGCCCGCGTGATGTGCAGCCGAACAACACACTCGTATGGTTAATTCTAATTTTACGTTACGACTTTTCCCGCGAAAACGCATAGCGTGCGCCATTTGTTTTTGTGCTTGAAAATAGAATGATCCAAAAGCCGCTGCAAATGTTTCTGATGTACAATATTTTAATTTCGTTTTTTTGTATAGACTTGACGTCATCTTTATATCCTTATATTATTATGGCTCTGGCAATAGATTTATATAAATCAGTTCAACTTATGTGCTATACTTTTTCATTTTCGCCTGCGAATAATATTCCACAAAATATGGATACAATTTTTATAATGTATTGCTTACGTCTATGGTATGTGAATTATTCACATTTTTTTTATAAATGAACTAACAAAAATAATGTGCGGCTTCATTTAAAAACAGTAAATAAAATGGTATTTCACACACAATATTTTCCCACTTCACAAATAAACGTAATAACATTCAAATAAACATTGAAAAAAGTATAATATCAAGCCAAAATTTACGTAATGATTTATTCTATTTACTCGATGCATTGTTCGGATTTTTACTTTGTTTTGTTCTTTTTACTACGACCACTCAATCATGTCCGAAACGTCGGGAATTCAAAAACAAAATAAAAAGATAATACCCGTGCAATGCTTTCAATAATTCAATGTTTAAAAGTTTTAAAAAATTTAAGCAAAAATATATCTTAACAAAACATTCATTGAACAAACATCGCCGGCATAGCAAGTCGTATCAAATTTCCGGATGAATACATTCTTCGTAGTTTTGACATCGTAAAAACTTCAATTTTAATAATATTAATTTGAATTATTTATCAAACATAAATGAAAAGGATGACCTAGAAGGGGCGCAACAAAATAAAAGGAATACTTCAGAAAAGGTCCAGTTTTATGTGTTACCGTCCCTATAGCACGATAAAATTCTAATTGATATCGCATATTTATGAAAAATTTACATTGCACTAATTTTCACATGAAATAGAATCCGGGGAATCTCTTAATACTTCACTCGCAAACAACAGCAAATTGTGGTTTTTTAGCACTTACACTCTAATGGTGCTCTCTGCACTGGGCCGCTCTCCACTGTCACAAATGTAAGTACGGCCAATGCGACTATCACTTTGTAATGCATTTTAGTGATACTAGGTTTTCAGCACAGTGTTACGTGACCCAACTGATATCCTGCGTCTGCCCCATCCAGTCCGTAGCCGACGCTTTTATACGCGCGAGACTCTAATGATAAACAACTGACGCGTACGTGCGTTATTCTTGCCTGTACCTAATATGATTCATTCGTGTTCTTTCGAATCTCTATTTTATTATCTCTTTTCTTCTCATTAATTAGTTTTTATTTTCCCTAGTGATAATCTTCACTACGTTGTGTCGATTTTACGAAATCCGTTGTTCGATGTTGAGTTAAAAATTTACACGTTATATGTAGAGCTATCCGATAGGTGAAGTTTTTGCCAAATATTATAGAAAACATAAATATAGTTTACGTGCCAATTGCAACAAATTGAGAAAATTTTGAAACGGAAAAAGATGATGGTGGACGTGTGAAATTGTGAATAACAGTGAATGTTGAATAACAATGAATAATTAATACTTGACTCGTTACTATATATTCATTTGTTCATTCATTACGACCACGTTAAAGTTTTTATCTGCCTTTGAGTAAAACTTTCAAAAATCTTTATGCTGCTTGTGATTTAAACACTTTTTCCGTCGCAAAAAAACTTAGCAAAGTTTTGTATAAAATATTTAATATTAATTATATTTCACCCACCATTAGCATTTCGCGTGCAGTATTCGATACTACAATAAAACCACCTGACTGTGCTTGATGAAAGTTTGCAGTAAATTTTGGAAATCAAAACAATTATATGGAGTGTGATTAGCTGCTTTTTTTAGAACCTAGTATTACTACAATAGTAACATTCAAATGCGAAATTATATATATATATATATATATATTTGAATATATGTTATATATATATTCAAATGCGAATCATACCTCACGTTCAATCCACAATAAATCACCGCTCTTAGAGGAAGCCCTTACGTAGATATTATTATAGATTAAGTATATCTTGCAAACTAAAATTATAGAATGTAAACATATTGTCTATAATTTAAGTATGCGAGATAATGGGTAACAGTCACGTGGTCTCTCAATCTCGAATGACCGTGGTGATAAATTTGGAATATCAACTCGACAACGTCAACAAATGAGTGTGTGCGAGAATTTACTAATCGCAGTAAAGTCAATTAATGTCTTCTTAAGGACGAGATAAACAATGGCGCGCCGGCTCAGCAGCCAAACGCTATTAGGTTCGGGTTCGATTCTAGCCACAGACTAGAATCTGACTGTGCAATATTAAATAGCGATATAAATGAGAAACACCGGGATATAAACTAAAAACTAATAAGATACAGATAACTAAGGGACGCTCCTTGTCCTTTGCTTTCAAATTGGAATCTTATGCCATCGCACCTAGTTAGGGTAAAAGAGAAGCGAGCATTCATAAATTTTATATTTCCGTTAGAACAAACAACCGTATTTGCTTAGAGAGCTCTACATTAAAGTATAATAAAATATCTTTCAAAACCTAGGTACTCGTTAGCTACAAGTTTCAGTACAAGTACTGTTACTAACTTGAACTAAATTTCTCGTGAAAAGATGAAAAATCGCAATAGGGCGCGTGGCGTACTATGCCCTAACACCGTTCCTACCGAAATAATTCCGTAACAATAATTATTTGTCCGGGCGCTCGCCTTTAATTCGCAATATACTCGAGCAACCTGAGTTCGATCCCCGGTGCCGGCACCGGGGATCGAACTCAGGTAGAAGTTTTTAACTTTAAGTGCTGACTTATCACGTACTCCGCGGTGAAGGAAAACATCGTGAGAAAACCTGCATATTTTCGAAATAATAACAAAAAAAAATTCGAAGATATGTGAAGCCCGCCAATCCGCAGTGGGGCCGCGTGGTGGACTATGCCCTGATACCCTCTGTATAGAGGAGGCCTTTGCCCAGCAATGGGATATGTATAGGCTGTTACTTTTTTCTTTTTTTTTTTTTTTTAAAGGAAAAACAACAGTGTAAAACACTGGGAATCATATTCAGGAATTCTTTTTATATTTATATAATTTAACTTTCACGAAGCGAAGCGACACAACTTCATAATATTGCCATGGCGATCATTACCAAATTTTTGGCATCTACCTATTATTTATTAATTGTTAGTTATTTTCCTGTTGTTACGCCAAGTGAAGTAAAACTTCTTACGTGCATACATATAAACTGATACATTTACCACATGATATTACAAAGTTGTTGATTAAATTTATTAACTTTTATATCACAGTATCGCCTTGATGCAGTTAAATAACATTATGACATTTATATGAAAGTTGTTTAATTAAAATATATCAACACTTTTTAACCATAACAGATTTTGCTACCTGTAGGTAATTCGATCCAATGTTTTTATTAATGATCTTTTCTTTTCACTTTTAAAGTGACGTAGATGTTGTTTTATGTCTTCATTTTCGTTATGAACATAATAATCAATCAGAAGACATTTAACGAGCACATTTAATGAAATAGTATGCTCCTTATAACTCTTATCGCGTGTTTGTGCAGAGTTGGTCAGGGGACATGAAATGCGCGCCAAAAACTTTTGCTATATAAATTATAAAAAAAACCCTCGCGATGGAAGTCTGAACGGAATCAGTATTTACGGGGCCGTATAATATTTATAAACGTCGAAAAGGAATTAAAGCAACCAATAAACCTTGACCAAGTTCGAGCTAGAATTCGTTTGATTTTGTTTCCCTGGTTATATAGGCTGACCGGATATATTAAAATAGACGCTTGCATCATTAGCAGACCAGGGAAATGTGCGATCGTTGTATTACGTATTTAATCAACGTTACGCTAATACAACTAAAACGACACAATATTCTGTAAAAGATTTTTAGAAGTCGTTTTGTGTTAAGTACATACATCAATCTGTAAAATACAGCAGATAGTTAAATATATTAAATTTTATTATATTTCTTTATATGCATAAAACAGATAAAAATATGATCTTAATAACAAAAAAATGTGATGTGATAACAAAAGAATCTAATGTTCTAGAAATATGTTTTTGCTTATATGCTCAAGGGTGTATGCTAAAACATTAAGGTAAAATCAAAGTATTCTATAATATAAAGGTAAAGGTAAACATAACGGTAAAATCAAAGTATTCTATAATATAAAGTATTCTATAATTTCTTGCTATATGCCAATCAGGATATTTTAAAAATACGGTTACAGATAAATACCATTTGTTTAAGGTTTTTTCCTATTACTTGACATAAAAAATAGACATGCAAACGTCATGTTCAACAGAGTTTAAAAATTTCATAAAAAATAACATTACGAATATTGTTGCTTCTGTTGTAAATCTTAACGTCCTTTATATACATTGTTTTTTAGCATCTGAAGCAATGCTTGGCGCATCCATTGTTATATCATTGGAAAGTATTCGTTCCTTTTCTAAAAATTTTAATCTTAAGTGCAGCACATTAGATTAGCACTATAAAAATTTGAATTTCTCATGTGGAAGTGTTATAATTTCGCGTTTCGTCTGGCGAGAAGGTAACCGGGACACACTTTTAATGTTTGGTGTCCGTCAAGTGTTGTAGACCTCCATGGGCGGCGGTAATTACTAAACATCAGACGAACTGCCTTGCCCCTCTTTACATAAAATAAAAACATCAGCCCTGCATTCCATTTGCCAGTCACAAATTTTAAATGTTATAGTTTCTTCGGTCGATTTGCGGCCTTGCCGGGAATAATGCGCCGCAGCCGGTCTGACCTATAGACCTCTTAATTGTTTATGAAATACATCGCAGTACCTATCGCATTTTGTCACGCGCAATATAGCTTGTAATACTTATTAAACGTAAATAATTAATAGTAGGAAGCTGGTAGAGACAACTACGTTTATATATTATTATCGTATTTGCCTAAAAAAGAGCCTGTATACCTATGTCCCACTGCTGGGCAAAGAACTCATCTGTACAGAGAGCATAAGAGCATGGTACGCCGCGCATTTATTGTTTCTATTTCTAAAATATGCAGATTTCTCCACAATAGTTACAATGTTTATGTCATTCTATTTATTACAAAAGTTAATATTTATGATAATATACTATAAAATGTTTGATTTTTTTTTTAAATTTTTACTACTTTCAAATTTAATAAAATAAGAAAAAAAAGACATTCGGTCATTTCTATAAATGCCAATACTTTGTAAATAACCGTGACTGTTTATCGTTTCTGGAACTGTTTTCGCATCGCCTGTGGCGGAGTGGTGACAATTGCTAATTGTGTTGAAATTTATATACCTACGTTTCCCAAGCGTGAAAAAACTTCTTTATATATTGCGCAAGTTACAACTGGCTGGCAAATGAGTTTTGAACTATAAAATAAAATAAGCCTTTATCAGTGTTACTCTTTACAATCTTATTCTTACGTGTTATACTAATCACTATTTAAATTAATACTAGTTACACCTAATTTTGGTCTTTAAGTATATCGGTAGTCGGTTTAATAATCTGTAGCAGCTTGTCTCTCGACAAAGGCCTCCTCCAAGGACTTCCATGCAGCTCGATCTCTGGCTATTTGGGTCCACTTAGGGCCCGCCATTTGTCTGTAGTCGTCTTCCCATCGTTTGCACCGTCTCCCTTTATTACTTTTGTCGCCTCGAAGGTACCATTCGGTTATTATTTTGGTCCACTTTTCTTTCGTATCCTGCCCAACGCCATTTTAACCTTCTACTAACGATGTGCGCATTTTTGAATGTTGTCTTGGTTTTTATTATTTCTAATTTCACTCTGTCACTTCTTCTTCCCCCTATTACACTACCTTCGATGCTGTTCTGGAACACTTTTATTTTGTTCGATAGCTGATCTGTTAAAGCCCACGTTAGACATCCGTATGTTAAGCACGGGAGTATGCGTATGTAAGTGTTGTATATAGTTTTTTTTTTTATATTTATAGGTATTGCAACATTGTTCATTATTTCGCTAAAGATCCAAAATCTTTTCCATGTATTTGTTATTCTTCTATTTATTTCT